AGTAAAACCTAGCTTTTACCAAAGTAGCTTGTTAAAAGCTCAAAGTATGCTTTAATATGATTCCACTTCAGCCTTTGAGGTAAAACCGAGGAGTTACCAATGCCTTCTGGTAAAATCCTGAAACAAGGGATTTAAATCAACCTTGAATAAGCCTCCGCACACAAATTCCGTCATGACACTTTTCTGTTCCTGCCTCTCCTTATTTGCACCATTCGCAGTCTAACTTGGACATAATTTAAACAAGTGTAAGCAGCTACGATCTAAAAAAGAAGAAGTTTGGGCGCAAGTGCAGAATCGCGCACTTATCGATGTTCACATGGACAAAGTCAAGGGAGTACGTAGTGCCAAGTTTGTGTAATTCTCTGATATTATTTTAAGCAAAAGTAGGTTGTTGTGTACATGGACACTGAGTTTGTGCAATTCTTAGACTTGTTATTTTCAAGTTGGCAATTTTGAGAAATGCGCTAAGCAGGGGTGATTCTGCACTTTCCCTGAAGTTTGTTTCCATTTTTAACATACTTTGCTTTTTTTTATTTTGCTGATGGGAAATGAGTGATGTTATGCGGAAAAGAGTTATGACATTTTGTCTGAATTTGTAAAAAATAAGCCTGATAACTGCTTTTATTTAACAAGTGAGAAATATGTGATGGAGAAACAAACAGTTCATTACAGAAGGTTGAAACGCTGTCGTATTCTAATTGGAGGAAAGGACAAACTTATAATATCACTATTTGCAAAAATCCTATATTATGTTACAACTGATGAAGTCTTCAACACAGCACTCATTATTGCAATTGGCCATGGTGAAAGAACTTGCATGATTAAAGAACTGAATCGTAAGTACAAGAATGTAACAGTAGAACCTATTTTCACATATTTAAGACTATGCGAACTATGTCAGAAGAAACAAAAACTGTGAAAGATGGGATTGTAATTAAATCAGTTGTGCATAGTGAAATGAATTCTCGATGCCAAGTCAACCTAATAGATATGCAGTCCAATACTGATCATGATATGAAATTCATTTGAGTGCATCAAGATCATCTTACACAATTTGTCCTACTCCGAAGTTTACACAGTAAAAGAATTGTTGAAGTAGCATATCACTTTCTGGATATTTTCATAGCTTTTGGAGCCCTGAGCATTCTTCATTCTGATAATAGGAGGGAATTTTGCAACCAAATCAAATCATAAACAGTTTATGTGAAATGTGGAGTGATATAAAAATAGCTCACTGAAAACCGAGACACAGTCAGTCACAAAGTTCTGTCGAACGGGTGAACCAAGATGGTGAGAACATGTTGGAAACAAATAAGATAGGAAATTGGTCAGAAGGATTAAAATTTGTTCAAAAATAAAAACAAAGCATATCAGGAGGGATTCAAATGTTCATCTTAATGAAGCTATCCTGTGATGTCCTGCAAAGTTGTCTTATGAAGCTAGGACTTGCTAACTCAGTTTTGCCACATAATTTGATTAGTAACATGACTACTGAACAGGATTTAGAAAAAAGTTATAAGTATGTATTACTAATGAATGTGTGGTTAATACAGAAAATGGGAAAACTAATCTCGAATCAACAGTTGATTTAGAATTGCAAGATAATAATAATGCATATGAAAAATAATCAGACATAACAATGGAAGCAGATACTAAAGTTTGAATTGAAATGAAAGAACCAGATATATGCTCTGACACAATGGGTGCAATTATCAAGAAAACTCAAAATGTGAAAGTGTTTCGAGAGACAGTTAAGGAAGGACTTCAGAAGCAGGCAAAGAAGATGAAGACTGTGTCTACTAAAAACTTTCCGAAACCTACATTTGGACAAATACTTTTGGAAAAATGTTAAAATAAAAAAAAGTACCTGATATTGATAGATCAAAAATGGATCCAAAATCAATAATAGCCATTATTAGAGATATTTAAGATGATGAGTTACGTGCTTATTTAACTCTGCCTTATATGTTGTGGTATTTCAAATTCCTAGGTTTTTAATCAATGCTTTTTTTTTTTTTTTTATTTTCCCCCCCTCGTTTTCAATCTTAGAACTTTGTATTTATCAAGTAATAAAACAGAAGCTGCTTACAGTATCATCTGTATTCAGGCTTACCAGTACTGGATATTAAGATCCTTCAAGATTCAGTCCTTCAGTTTCATTATTCAAGTTTGGCATGTTTTGATAGTGAATACAAGTAAAATATGTTACGAAATAAGAAATATTTGAATTTCAGTTATTATACTTGATACTCAAGTCATAAAAATGTTTATTTATTCCTTCCATCTTAGTTGAAATCATACTTTAGGATATTATGAGTTAAATTTCGTAAAGTTCTATAGACTTAAAAGAAAAAACTGCAGATTTAAAGAAAAACCTTTGGAAATTTGTCCTTAGGTGATAAGACAATATTAAAATATAGCATATAAGCATAAAATTAGAATTCAATAGCCAAGCCAGAATAATTTAAATTACTAAAGTTTAAAATGCTAAGTTAAATTACTAAAGTTTAAAATAGTGTGAAAAAAGTCTCATGTTATTTCGAGCTTCCCAATTATGTTTAAGTAGAGAATTCTTTGTTAGACAGCAGGACAAAGAAGGAAGTGATCACTATCCATAAAGCCAGAATGGCAGAGATAATCAAGACTATTAAAAATTCCAGTCTTACTCATGTGGACAGCCCAAGCAATGATATTCCACTGCTAATCAAACACAACTATTGTATCTTCACAAGGGCACCAGTCTACTAAATCATCAAAATCCTTGAGTTTTTCCCTCAATGTAAATTAAACAAAACCCTGCTGAATTTTAAGCCTTCGTGGCTCAAAGTTTATCTGAGACATCTATGAAAGTCTAAGAATGTTGTTGAAAACTTGAGTTGGAAATTTGTATCTCATGAGACATGCACAGTTGTCCAGTTCAGTATAAAAGTAACTTCTTAGGGTTGTTTTTTTCAATGCCAGTCAAGGCGAAGAATCTGATTTTGCCATTTGTTCCAATTTGTTCCTTCAAATCCTCAAGGAGGCAGTTATTAATTGAGTTGCTGGAATATTTCATAACAGTAAGTAAGCATTTTGTAAGTTGTAAATAAAGTGGAAGTCGCATATCCCCACCTTACTCCTGTTGTTTAATTACATTGAAAAAATTATTTATCCCTTAACGTTAGTTCCTCCACCCATTAATTCCAAGACCAATTCCTATTTAAGACAATTACCATGTAGTTAAAAGTTTAGAAACAATTATTTCAATGATAATTCCTTCCTCCTCCATTAATTCCAAGACAAATTTCTATTTAAGACAATTCCCATTTAGTTAAAAGTTTAGTATTGAGGCACATGGATATTATTGTATAAAACTCCAAGTCAAAAGGCTTGTGACACAATACAAAAAGTTATACAGGCAGGCTTTTCTGTTTCTATGCATGTTTATTTAATTGGCACCAAGTATCAAGTCTTTCATGACATCATTTAATTAACTATTTCTGTGTACCTTTTTGAGGATGGAAGACCATGTCACCAAATTCTCAGCATACATCAATACATTTACATCCCTATCTTCTAACATAAATATAAGGTTGTTTGACATGTATATTACAAAGAAACAGCTGAACATAGTATCCTAGGGAAGACAGGACTGAAGTTTTGCTTGTGATGAGATATGAGTAAAGTGTAATGCAATATGTTGTGTTATTCATAACACAGTGCATTTATAATAAGACAGATCATTTAAAAAATCATTATTTCAGTTTTGCATTTCTATTTTTTTTATTTTATTTTCTATTACTTGATTCTCCCTTTAAAACAACTGTAATAATAGAGATACAAGACTGAAATAATGATTTTGTTTCTTACCCCCCTTTAAAATGAACACACTGTAATGTCAGTGTTAGACTAATATCAAATTATATGGAACTAGAAGCATATCTTCTGTCCTTCATTTCTTTCAAATTCAGTACCAAGCATCATTTCATCATGTGATGGAATATGCGAATTAAACTGTTGGCCATACAGGTATAATTCCCACTGCGCTAATGCTGCAGCCATCCAAATTTTGATAGAGAACACCCCTGGGGATACATCTGAGTGTCTTCCATTCCTTCTTTCCAACAAGCTACTCTAATAATTTTGTGGTTCAAATGTTCGTTAAGTTCGTAAAAACGTTATTGATGCTTCTTCTAGCTTTTTCCACCAAAATTTTGCATTAGTGTTATCCTCACAATAGGCAATGATTTTATAGTTCAAATTATTATTTTTTTAAAAAAGTACTTATTGAATCAAAAATTATTTCTGAAGTTTCACCCCGGCAGTGAAATAAAATCTAATATTCTAATTTTAATTTCTGTTCTCTGTCTAGATCAAAAAGTTTAACAATTGTGGAAAATAATTTTAAAAATTTTTGTGGTTGGAAGCATCATAATATATGGATATAAATGTGCATTTAAAATCTAATTGTTTTCTGCTCTGCAATTGTGAAAACGAATATAGTGAAAAAATTACAAATAATTGCTTTCAGTTTTTGTCGTTGCTTCTGCAAATTTTTTGTCGTACAATGTTTTGATCATTTACGATGTACAATCAATTGATATGAAACTTTGATTGTGTTTATATGTAAAAAGCATAGCCCTTGAGCTAATGCTAGTTTCCTCCATTACAATAGATATTCTTGACGAGACTAACGAAAATGATCCGAGTAAATCTAACTCGTTCTCGCATTTTAGTGTACTCTTATTAAACTCAATATAGCAGAGAGTGGTAACTTGCATGCATGAGAATAAATAATACACAACATACCTGTTGGGAGTTTGGAACACAAGTGAAGTTTTATTGGAGTGCACAGTTATAGAAGAATATAAAAACAGTGGCGCCATCTATGGGCCAAGAACATATTTAAAGCTAACCTTTTTTACACTCCCACTTTAGGTTTAAATATCATCCTAATTAAATACAATGAGAAATTACATCAGCACACATACATATAATAAAACATTAAATTACATTGGTCTTCATTTTAAACCCATCATTTTTGCACACATTTCATGTTTTGCACTGTTTACATTTTTTGTCAAAAAGTCTGCAATCATATCATTAGTAGTCTTATATTGTATGTCAATGTGCTGAAGTTTCACAGCTTCTCGCACGAAATGATGTTGTATATCAATATGCTTTGATCTACCATGATACACACTATTTTTGCTGAGATTAATAGCACTGTTGTTATCGCAGTATAATAATACTGGCTTTGCAGTAATAATCCCAAGTTCTTTAACAATTTTGTTGAGCCATATGGCTTCTTTAGTAGCTGCAGAAAGAGCCATATATTCGGCTTCTGTTGTACTAGTTGCAATGGTTGGTTGACGCTTACTACACCATGACACTGCACCACCTCCGATGAGGAAAACATATCCAGTGGTTGATCGTCGATCCCCAGCATCACCTCCATAGTTTGAGTCGCTGTAACCAAGGACATCAGCACTATGGTCCTTTGAAAAAGACAATGTAGCATCTGTAGTGGCTCGAAGATACCGCATGATGCGCTTGACAGCATTCCAGTGAACCCTTGCCGGATTATTGGAGAACTGGCTAAGGAAATTCACAGCATAAGTTATATCTGGCCGTGTTGCTTGAGCTGCATAAAGAAGACTCCCAATGGCAGCCTGATAAGGAACAGGTAGCTTTTGTTCCTTACTAGTTGGTATCTGCAGTTTAGATAACACTTGATTTTGGTCTAATGGTGTTTTTACACCATGAGATTCATGCATATTATATTTGCAAAGCATACTCTCTCTACATACTGAGTTTGACTAAGGCTAATGGACCCTTTAGTTCTATCTCGTTCAATTTTAATTCCTAAGCAATAATTTGCTGGTCCCAAGTCTTTCATTTCAAATTTTTCTTTAAGTTGTTGTTTTTTACCCAATTTTTAAGTTCTATGTTATTACTAAAAATGAGTAAGTCATCAACATAAATAGTAACAATAACAAGATCTTTATTTTCATTTATTTTAATATAGACACAACTATCAAAAGAACTTTGCCTCAGTCCCATTTCTATTAAACCCTTTTCTAACAGTTGGTACCATAGTCTACCACTCTGCTTTAAACCATCTAATGCTTTGTTTAATTTTAGGACCTTTCCCTTTAAGTTTTGCTTGTAAAATTCACTGAAACCGTCTGGAATTTTCATATAAATGTCTTCATTTAGAGTTCCCTGTACAAAAGCCATTACAGCATCCATTTGGTCAATTTCCCAATCATATATAGCTGCATAAGCTAATAAAACTCTTAATGTTACGTATCGGACAACTGGTGCAAATGTTTCAGTATAATCTATTCCCTCAATCTGAGAATAGCCCTTAGCAACTAAACGTGTTTTATATCTTTCAATCTTGCCTACTGAATTACATTTAATTTTGAAAACCCATTTACAATCTACAATGTTCTTATCATAAGGTTTATCTGTTATTTCCCATGTTTTGTTTTTTAATATGGCCTAATATAGTCTCACATATAGAATCCTTCCAATGGTTTGCATCATTGCCCCTTAATGCTTCATCAATGGTTTTCGGTTCAGAATACATACATACCATTTGTTGCTGCTGCCATAAGCTTTAACAAAGCACATTCGATCTAAATTTGGCATTGGCATTTCTGGCATCCCGTGTGTGTCATAGTCCGTATAATAACTATTTGGGAATCTAAGTTTTCTGTTTCTAGTCAACATGTAGGTAGCTCATCAACTACACTACTGTTATCATGGCTATCATTTTGAGCAGTATTATGTTCATCGTGATTAGATTTAATACTAGCATTAACTAATTCATGATCAGACTGAGTATTATCATTAACCATCCCTTCCAATTCACCGTTCTGATCATCAGCTATTGCATTCTCAGTATCTGAAAATGTCATAATCACGCTCCCACTGAATGAGGATTCATCATAGAATTTTGGCATATTACTTGCCTTTTTGTAGTACATTTCATTTTCCAAAAATTGTACATCTCGTGCATTTATTATTTCATAAGTTTTGGGATCTATTAATCGATAGCCTTTTCTATCCTGACAGTACCCAACAAGCATTAATTCCTTTGCTTTTATATCCCACTTTTTACGTTTTTGTTTTGGAATGTGAGCAAATGCACGACATCCAAATACTCTCAAGTATTCTAAATTTGGCTTATCCCCATACCATTTTTCATAAGGGGTCATACCTGCAACTGCAATAGTTGGAGATATATTTTTACAGTGATTTGCAGTTTGCACTGCTTCAGCCCAATAATTTTGATCAAGGTGAGCATCCACCAACATTGATCGTGCTCGCTCTACAAGAGTTCTGTTACTACGTTCAGCTACACCCCCATTTGCTCTGGTGTAAATGGAATAGATTTTTGATGCTGAATTCCATTTGATGCTAAATAGTTATCCATCTCATTGTTTACATACTCAGTACCATTATCTGAGTGTAAGATTTTGATTGATTTGCCAGTTTGCCTTTCCAACAAATGCTTGAAATATTTTGAATTTTTCAAAAACTTCAGATTTATTTTTCAAAAAATAAACAAAAGTCATTCGCGACAAATCATCAATAAAACTAATAAAGTAGCGAGAACCACCAATTGATGTAACATTCATAGGCCCACACACAGGTCACTATGTACTATGCCTAATAACTCTTTTGCACGCTTAGCTTTTCCCTTGGGAAATGGTTGTCTATGCATTTTGCCTTTAATGCATGACACACAATTTAACAATTTTCCGTTAAATGTAAAACCTTCGACCATATCTTTTAATCTGGTCATTCCTCCTTCACTTAAATGGCCCACTCTTTTTGTGTAATAATTCATTTGAAATATTTTTATCAGTAATTAAAGCCCACTCATTACATAAATCAAGAGAATACAAATTATCTCCCATACCTGTTCCAGTAGCAACTAAATGTTTACCATCATACACAAAACATCTTTCACTTGTAAAAGTACTAACCATTCCAAATACTTTATTTAAATACTTAATGGACAGCAAATTGGCTGTTAACTTTGGAACGTGTAAAACATTACTAAAAGTTACAGACTCCCTTTTTTTATTTCTAGATAAGAGGAAAGTTATTTTACCCTTACCCTCTACTTCTATTACTTACTGAACTTCCTGTTTTTATTTGATGAATACTAGCATCCTGATAATCATCTAATAATTCTTTATGTGGAGTCATGTGGTAAGAAGCACAAGAATCCATGTACCAAATATTGGGATGTGGATTAGAATTAGCTACACTAATTTCCACTACATAAGCTTCTTCCCCTTTTTTATGTTTTAATCCAACATTAGACTTTTTGTTAAACTTGTTTTCATTATATCTATCCTTTTTGAGAGGTGACTTCTGACAATCAGAGCTTTTGTGGCCAAACAAATTGCATTTAAAACATTTTCCTTTAAAGTACCTTTTGCTTCCAATATTTTTATTAACAAATGCGTATTCCTTACTTTCATTGACTAGGGGTTTTGAATCTTCGGCTAACAAGCGATTTTTAACATTGTCAACTGTTATTGCCTCACCACAATTTTTCAAAGCCATTATAAGAGGTTCAAACCTATCAGGTAAATTAGCTAAAATTATTCCTGCAATTAATTCTTCATCAGGTTTAACACCAGTAGATTTTAACTGCTGATAAGATGAAATGGCCCTATGTAAATAGTCAGACATATCCTTACAATCAGTATAACGGGTATTCACTAATGTTTTAATTATTGAAACCTTTCTTGTGATTCCCTTATCCTCATATGTTTCAGCTAATACTTTCCAAGCTTCCTTTCCACTTGTTAAATCCCTTATATCATTGAAAATAATTTCACTTACCCCTTCAACTATATATGACAAAGCTTTGGTATCCTTTACTGGATCTTCTTTTGTACCCTCTACATAAGCCCATAAATCTAATTTAATAAGATGCATTTTCATGGAAAATTTCCAATCCATGTAATTTTCCCTTCCACTCAATTGTTTATGACTAAATGAACCTTCTCCCCCTGGCATTTTTCCTTTTTTTAACTTTAATCAACAAGAGACAAAAAAAATTATAATTTGAGATAAATTCAAATAAATTTTCTATTGAATTAATTTTATTCTCAAAGAAACATTTGCCCAAATAATTAACAGTCAAAAATATTTGTACTAGTTAAGCTTTTGCAACCATGTGCTATGGCTAACCCTAACATAACCATGTGGTCAATTCTGGTTAAAGTAATTCTAAAAATTTACAAATAGAATTAAATAAACAAACTAACTTAACTAGACACTAGATTATTTATCCTCATTTCTTAATCTGGCCTGGGCCCATAACCTATTAGAAACTCAATATAGCAGAGAGTGGTTACTTGCATGCATGAGAATAAATAATACACAACATACCTGTTGGGAGTTTGGAACACAAGTGAAGTTTTATTGGAGTGCACAGTTATAGAAGAATATAAAAACAGTGGCGCCATCTATGGGCCAAGAACATATTTAAAGCTAACCTTTTTTACAGTTTCAAAAACGCGATAACCCTTTCTGAAAGATAAGATTTCTGAGAACCACTGTCCGAAATCGTACGAACTGTAAGTTGTCTACCCTCAAAAACTATTTTTAAAACAAGTGTTTGCAAATACACATTTTCATTAACAGTTGACTGATTAGACAATACATTACTTGAAATAACAGTACTGTCAGTTTCATTTGGCTTTACAGGTTCGCCATTTGAGCACATAATGGTATAGTGAAATTTATCACATGTTAAACATTTTACTTTATTTTTGCATGCCCGTGAACTATGTCCAACTCGTAAGCAGCGAAAACAGGCGCGCTTTTGCACCAAAAGCTCTTCGTTTATCTTCTAAAGACATTTTGCGAGCAGAAAAACATTCGGCAGAATTGTGGGATTTCTCACAAAAAATACAACGTAAATTTCGCCTACCTGTATTGTCTTGAACATTTACCAAGGCAGCAGCTGTAGAGCAACCCGGATCATCACAATGTGGACGCGAATGTGCAGAACGTGAAGCTCCCAACCCGGTACGAGCGAGCTTAATCATTTCCTCACTTTGCACTTCATTTCGAAGAAAGCACAAAAGTTTATCCAACGAACGCGCACTATCTTGCTGTGACGCAGTATCTTCCATCGAGCGGCTTCTTTCCCACGCACGAAGAACAGTCTCTGGTAAACAGGACTCAACAAGTGGTTCCAAAAATTCTGCAAATTTTTCCTTAGTTCTACCGAGGCTTTCAAGTGCCATAAGCTTGCTCTCAAGTAAATCATAAAGTTCAGCTAAATCTCCTTTGATCCTACAAGCAGCATTTTTCATTACTATGGAAAGTAGATCCCGTACATAAATCTGAACCAAAAGTTCATTTCTCCCGAAGCGTTATTTAAGTTGTGCAATCACCTTTGAATAGTTTTCTTTAGTAGGCGGAAAACTTGTTACCAGTCTTGACGCTTTAGAATCTGATACCACACATTGTAAAAAATATTAAAATTTATCTTCATCGACAATGGAGAGGTCGTTATGAATTTTTTTATACTGGTACCAAAAAGCAAGAAAGTCTTTCGATTCTTCAGTAAATTTCCTCAATTCAAGTTTTGGAAGCTTGAATTTCCTTTTTCGCTCGGTTGTTGTTCCTTCCGTAACCGAATTTGCCTTCTTTGTATTTTCTAACAGCGAACAGATCAAGCAGAACTTGTCACGGTATTCTTCTGCTTTCAAAAAATCTTCGGAATATTCGTCTT